TGTGGTGGTGGTGGTGACAGTCCTACTTTCTTGTTGGCAGACAAAGAAAGCCCCCCCAATAGTCCTTTGTTACCTGTAAACGAGACTTTAGGAAATGTTGAAATTTGAGTACTACTTGGGATCCTGCAAACAAGTTGATTATTTGAGAGATTCAAGAATTCAAGGAAAGAAAGCTTTGCCAACTGAGGTGGAATTTGCCCGCTCAGCTTGTTCTGTGAGAGGTTTAATGACTCGAGTTGATGCATATTGGCAATTGACGATGGCCGTTGATGCATACAAGTTGATCCATATTAGCAAGGTATTTGAGTCCTCCAAGGTCTTTCATCTTGAAATCAAAAGAAAAATATCCCTGCAATCGTTCAATGTCTATTGTATCATCACCTGTGACGATCATATCATCCACATATATAATGAGCAACGTTACTAGCCATCCTTGCATTTGATGAACAAGGTATGATCCGAGTTACCTTGTCGATACCCGTACTTCTTCATTGCCTAGGTAAACCGCCTAAACCACACTCTGGGCGATTGTTTGAGACCATACGGTGCATTCCGAAGTTTACATACTTTCCCACTGGAATTTGCAACGCCGTATCTTGGTGGAAAATTCATGTACACCTCTCCATGTAGAAATGCATTTTTTACATCAAACTATCTCAAGGGCCAGTCAAGATTAGCAGTAAGAGATAATAAAACTCCGATGGTATTCATTTTTGTAACGGGAGCAAACGTTTTCTGGTAATCTACCCCAAAAGTCTGGGTGAACCCTTTAGCGACTAACTTTGCCATGTACCTATCAATTGTTCCATCCACCTTATGTTTGATAGTGAATACCCACTTGCACCCCACTGATTTCTTCCCCTTGGAAAGCGTAAACACACTCCATGTTCTATTCTTTTGTAATGCTTCCAACTCAACTTGCACTGCTTTAGTCCATTTCGAATCTTTTAAGGCTTATTCCACTCTGTTAGGTATTTTGATAGTCTCCATCTGCTCAACCAGTGCACAGTATTTTGATGAAAGTCGATGAGTATATACATAGTTTGCAGTGGTGTATTGCACATTTCCTTTTGGAGAGTACCTGTCTGATGGTTGTCTTCGATTTTGTCATGGAGGTAACACATAAGATGGTTTAATAATATCTGAGTGCGAACCATGATCTACTCCACAGTTGCTGCTTCTCTGTCCATTTAACTTTGGAGCCGTAAGTCTCAAACTAGGCCTACTAGGATCAACAGCAACTATCCCAAACGTCTGGGCCCTCGGTTTAGCAGCTGTCTCCAATCCGGGCCCACTTGGGCCGACAAATTATCACAGCAAAGAATGGTGAAAACGGTGCAGCGGCTTGATCTTCACATGGCCCATTTGGGCTGTCACTGTCTGGGCAATCACATATCCCATTCGCATGACCTTCATGCAGGCCATGATAGCTAGTACGATCTATGTCAGTAGAGGTGGGTTCGGTACGGTAACCGTACCAAAATCCTCGTATTAATTGCCGGATCAAATTTTTTGTTTGGCAAAATTTATTACTATTATCGTATCAAATTTTCGGTATGCCGAAGTTTGATATTGCCAATAATTCAGTTGACATGGTATGGTAATGATAATTGCCACTTTGTTTTGGGACAAAATTTGTTTTTATTTTTGTAACCCAATTCAAGGGAAAAACTTTTTTTTGTACCTTTATCTCATACATTGTAGCCTAAATTCATCTATTATTCATCATTCACAATGCACACACAATAATTCAAATGATGTGTCCAGATTCATGATGAAAATTAAGCTTACAATCCAAATAGAAGTTACGAACTAAAACAAATAGAAGTTAACAATCCAAATAGAAGTTAAAGTTTCAAACCAAATGAAAATTGAAACTAAACTTCAAAAAGTGAAATTCATTCAACTCTTCAAGCTTGAGATGTCGAAGTTTTGGAGGGGACGTTAAACTTATAGATGATTGAGCTTGTGTCAAACTTACATTGCAAACAAAGAAAACATATTAGTAGTAAGAAGAATTAAAGTTGAAAACCATTTAATAACAAATTTACTAAAAAAATTAAGCATATCTTACTCGTTTCTACTTCTTCCATTTCCTTGTAAAATTGAAGCATATCTTCTATTGATTCCTTTTAGAAATTTACTTTCTCCATCCTAAACCAATCACTAGTACACACTAGTGCCTCTACCATGTTAGGAGTCAAGGATGTCCTGAGGGTCAAGAACCCTCCTCCCTAGGCTAAATGCATTTTCACTAGCAGCGGTAAAAGTGGGGATTGCAAATATATTCTTGACTATTTGTGAAAGAATGGGGGACTATTCTGTATTTGATTTCCACCATCTCAAGAGATCAAAGTCACCAACAACACTGCTAATATAAGTAGGGTTTTATTTTCAAATTTTTGGAATATTATAAATATATACTGTAAATATGTGTTATATAATTATATATTACATATTTTCGGTACGTTATAGAAATATTGTGGTAATGGTATCCATTACCAATACCGTACCATAAAATTTCGGTACAATACAATACCGCACCACTTGGGCTTGCTTCCGCAAGAGAAATCTCTGTTATACGAACCCACCATAGTCTTCAATAAATTCATCGGTGGTGATATCGACACACCCTTTTTTACCTTTCACATACTTCTTTTAATTTCTGACCGTCGGATCAAATGAATTGAAAAAAAGGTCAAAGAATGTAAATTAACAAAGAGTATGTGAAAGTAAAAATGAGTGTATGATAGCATCAACCAAATTCATATGCTGATTGTATAGGAAAAAGGATTCCCCTTAAATGTTGTTGAATTTCTGGATTAGAAGTCCACTGAATCTAAAAGCGTGTAATCAATTTGGATTTTAGAGCATTTTAGTAGATTTTTTTCAAGTGACAAATTTTAAAGGATTTTAGTATACTTTACAATTTTATATGGATTTTGGTAGATTTACATGTATTTCTATGATAGATTTCTATGGATTTGTAAGAACTTCTTTTATGGGTTTCTTAAGATTTCTTTCGGTATATGATATAATTTTTACCACCTGCAAAAGTAAGGATAAAAACACTAAAATACTTGCAAGAGTACAAGGTAACCGTAATATAATCGGCTTTAGCAAGGTCGTTCTCCTTATGGATTGTTTTGATTAATTTGTGTTTATCATATTGTTAGTTAATTATTTTTAAATATATCTTTTTATTTACTTAATTTTAATATTTTTAGGTTACAATTTGTTGATATTGAGAGCAGTGTAACGATTTCATTTGTAGGAATGGGATACTTTGGATTTGCACTAACAATTTGTGCTCTTTGCAATTTAAATACCCATGATATTATGTATTCTCCTCAACAACAATATTTTCCAGATTTTGTGTGGCACCATATTAATATGAGGAACAATTTTCTGATGCCTCGGTACGATTCCTACTCAAATTTTTATCCATCATGGCCAGAGCATCAAAATCCTATGTGGGAGTGTATTCAAGAGCCTTTTGAACAACCTCATGCACCAGCAAAAGCTGATTGGGAGATTGCAGTTGAGAAATTGGCAGAGTACCCTAACAAGGCTTGATCAAGTCGATCAAGAAATTCATAATATTCATAAATCAATAACAAATCTGATGCAGCAAGTTGGGCAGCTCGTGCATCAATGGAAAGAACAAGAGGAAGAGTTTCTTAGTCAACCAATTGCTAATCCACAATGTTCGAAGGAAAGCTGCCTAATTCAAACATCCCAATGTTTGGAGAGCTATAATAACATGCTAGGAGATATTGAGATTAAAGAGCCATTAATGTATGACTCATGCACAATGGAGGAAACGAAACCTGCTGATCCCAAAATATCCCCATAATCTGCTCCTACCAAAATCTATATGCCACAAATACCCTATCCAGAGGCTGTAAAGCAACCAACAAAGCTGCATGAACATGTTGAAACTGACGGTTTGGACAGGCTTGTTCATAAGAAGTCACAATTTGATGATTCCCATGGTCATCTTTTGGACACTTTGACAATGGATACAGGACAGCCAGCTACTGATCAGAAAATTTTGGTTGTTGTACTGGACAATGCAAATGTAAAAAAATTCACTCCCTCCTCCATAAAGGTTTTCACCTTGAAAAAAACTGACTATCGACGGGAAACCAATATCTTTGTTATCTTTCATTGCTTGCCATTATTTCAAAGAGAATCCCAATACTTCACCATTGAAATTGTTGTACGCTAAGTCTATGATTTGAAGAACTAGCAAGGTGCCATTGGTCTTCACTATTGGGCATCCAATGCCTCCATAGAAATTATTGGATTGCAATGCAAGAACGCTCAAGGTGGAGATGTTCTTCAACAAGCATGGGAATGTGTCTGTTATCTGATTATCTTCAAGGTTTAAAAATCTTAACCTTCTACACCTGGCTAGAGACTTTGATAACTGACCCTTGATCTGATTTTGGCTGAGGTCTAGAGTTTCTAATGAGTCACATTTTTGCGGAATAGTAATAGTTCCAGCAATGATGTTTTTCGTCACATTAAGTATCCTGAGCGTACTCATAGCAGCCAAGCATTGGAGAATCTCGCCACTCAGAGAATTATTGGACAAATCAAGAGTGAGAAGATCACATGCATTGCATATTGAGATTGGAATACTAGAACTGAAATGATTGTCTAAGTAATCTAGATAATGGGCATATGATGGGACAATTGAAATTGACCCCTTAAGCTGGTTCGAATGAAGGTCAATGTAACGACCCGCCCCAGAATTTACGAAACGAAAAGACATTTTTGTAATTTCACTAAGTTTGTGATATTTATTTTTGAAATGGGTTGCTTTGGGCCTTAAATGGTGAGCCGTATGGGGCCCATTACTTTTTGGTCCCCTGACCCTTTCCTCTTTTTCCTCACTTTCTCTTCCCTCCCCGTGAACAACCTCTCTTCACTCTCTCTCCCCCTTTCGCTGCATTCTCTCTTCACTGAGGACCATCATACACACCCACACCACGATGGCAACACCACCACCCTCACCCACTACCAATGTCGACCTTCTCCTTCCCTTCTCTATGAAGCACAAAGGCCACCTAACCCTCTCTTGCGAGTCCAACGGCCTTCGAGCCGATTTCCAACCACTACTGGGGAAGCCAAAGGTAAAAGCCTAATCTACTCTTATTGGTCTTCATTTTAGTGGGTAGATCGCATGTTAGGGTGGAGAATCTCGATCGGAGATTTTCCAGGTTTCCTTGCCAACTTTTCAAACCTGAGGGAGTTCAGCTGGGATAGTAACAGCGTCTCCGCTCCGTTTCCAAGATTCTTTGCGAAATTTTCAAAATTGACTTCCTTGAATCTCTCCAATTGTTTGTTGCAAGGTACATTTTCCAAAGCGATCTTTTAGGTACCTACTTTGCAAATTATTGACCTTTCATTTAATGAAGAACTTCATGGTTCCTTGCCGGAATTACCAAACAATGGATCTCTTCGGTCCTTGGATCTAAAAGTGACAAAGTTTTCAGGGTCATTGCCGAGCTTTATTGAAAACCTTAAGCTTTTGGAGAAAATTGAGCTTTCATACTACAGTTTCACTAGATCAATTCCAAAATCAATGGAGAACCTAACATAATTGGTTTTTTTTTTTTACATGTCCTCAAACTTGTTCAATTAGTTCTATACATTGGGAAAACCTTATCAATCTAGCTGTGCTTGATTTGGCCGACAATTTACTCGAAGGGAGTATCTCGTCGTCTGTGTTCTCTTCCTTTGTTGCAAAGAATAGTACTTTCCAATAATCATTTCTCTGGTTAACTACCTGAATTTTCGAACATTTTTTCCAACTTAGTAGCTTACCTTGATTTGAGTTTCAACAATTTGGAAGGTTCAATACCTGTATCTATCTTCAAGTTTCAGGGGCTTAAAAGGCTTAATCTATCTTTCAACAAATTCAGTGCCTTTCCTTTCAATGGTCCACAAAGGCTGGAAAACCTTACCATACTTGATGTTTGCCACAATAGCTTACTGTTTTTCTAGTGACACAAATTCCTCATTTCCTCTAATCGTTGCATTAGAATTGGCTTCTAACAAGTTGAGAACATTCCCAGGTTTTTGAGAAATCAATCCTAATTAGATTACTTGAACCCTTCAAATAACCAGATTTAAGGCGAGATAACAAATTGGATTTGGAAGCTCAGTTATCTTAGTTACCTAAATCTTTCTTGTAACTCTAGAAGCTCCTCCAGTTTACTCATCTAATTTGACCTTCATTCAAACCAACTTCAGGGAAAATTCTCAATTTTCTTTCCAATTGCTACATATCTGGATTACTCTAGAAATAATTTCAGCTCTAGTATACCAAATGAGATCGAGGATTTCCTTAATAAGACTTTGTTCTTCTCTCTATCAAGCAATAACTTGCATGGGCCCATTCCAATTTCAATATGCAATGCTACAGTTCTTCGGCTTCTTGATTTGTCTAATAATTCTTTGAGTGGCATGATTCCCAAATGCTTGATCGCAGGCAGCCTTGGAGCACTTAATTTGAGAAGAAACAATTTTACTGGAAATCTTTCCAATTCTATTTTTACTGAAGATTGCTTATTAGAATCTCTTGACCTTAGTGGAAATCAGATCGAATGTCAGCTTCCAAAATCTCTCATCCACTGCACAGGTTTACAGACGTTGAACCTTATAAACAATCATATAACTGATAGCTTCCCATGCTTCTTGAAGAACCTATCCACTTTGCGTGTCCTTGTTCTGCAATCCAACAAATTTTACGAACACATTGGATGTTCTGAAGCAAATGAAACTTGGCCAACGCTTCAAATCATAGAAGTTGCTGCCAACAATTTTAATGGTGAAATACCGGCAACATATTTGACAACTTGGCAGACAATGATGGATAGAAAAGATGGTGTCAGTGTCCTGGGATTTACACAGGTACATGGGGCATATCCAAGTGTTTCTATTCAAAATGCTGTAACAGTTACTAGTAAAGGTTTAAAGATAAATCTGCTAAAGATTATCTCTATCTTTACCTTGATTGACTTCTCATGCAACAATTTCAGTGGACAAGTACCTAAGGAAATAGGAGATTTTGAATCACTATATGTCCTTAACTTGTTTAAAAATGTTTTCACGGGTGAAAGCTCATTGTCATTGGGCAACATACGGAATCTCGAATTCTTAGACCTATCACATAACAAGTTGAGCAGGAAAATTCCACCACAGTTGGCAAACCTTAGTTTCCTTTCATTCATGAATCTGTCAAACAACCAACTGGTCCGCAGGAAAACTAATTGGCACTCAATTCTCAACATTTTCAAGTACCTCCTTTATTGGTAACAAGGGACTATGGAGGCCACCATTGACAATAGACAACAAAACAGGATTGTCACCACCATCAAATAGAAGTCATCTAAATTCTAGAGATGAGATTAATTAGGATCTTATAATTGTCACAATTGAATTTGCATTCGGCTTTGCAATTGCGATTGGGTCACTTGCATTTTGCAGGAGATGGAGTAAATGGTATTACAAATCAATGTATAGCATCATCTTTACGATATTCCCTCAACTTGAAGAAAAAATTGATCCTCACCGAAGACATGTCCACATAAATCAAAAGTGAAGACGCTGAAATGGCTTTGAGGAGCAATCCAGCTGGACTTGATGTTATGCTTAGGGTTTGATTCCCAAATGCTTGACCGCAGGCAGCCTTGGAGCACTTAATTTGAGGAGAAACAATCTTACTGGAAATATTTCCAATTCTATTTTTACTGACACAAATGGAACTTGGCCAACGCTTCAAATCATAGATGTTGCTGACAACAATTTTAATGGTGAAATACCAAATAGGTCATTTGGTAGATGAAATGAAGAAGGAGATAGAACTAATTAAGCCCTTTCCAAGTTTTGTTAAAGCAGCTAAGTTTTTCTTTTCAATGCTATTTTGTGAAGATGGTGAGGAAATCCTGAATCTGTTACAAATTCAGGTGAAAAAAATAAATCATTAGGCGATTTAGTACTAGATATGGTGGCTTTAAAAAGTGAGCGGCAAGGTAACATGTCAAGGCACATAGCAAAATCACGAGTCCAGTTGTTGTCATAGTAATATGATGAATGGAGTTCGTTTGGACATGTTACTAGCTAACTACACAGTTTGAATAAATCATGAAAAGATACAGAACCCTCTTATGTTATCATCAGATTAAGCTAAGTTCAGGAACCTCAACGGTACGAGGAAATTTATTGAAAATAAAGCATAAAGATATACAATACATTATTACAAAATAACAAGGGCATACTTAAATTAAAATGTGAAACCATAAGGCACACTTCTTCTTAAGGCTGGGTTCGGTTGGCAAATAGTGCCAAATTCCTTGTGCCACCTGCCAGCCACATTTACATAATTACCGAAAATCAGTTACCGTTAGCCAACTGTCTACTTGCAGTTGCCAAAAATCGGTTCAACCAAAATTATTAGTTGGTTCACTTGGTAAATGGCACAACTGGTAGTTTGCAAATAAGGAAAATGGATAATAACCATAGGTTTGCAAGAGTATGGCATACCACCGGCATACAAAATCAATTATCAAAGCCATGCCATTAATTATCGGTTCGGTAAAATGCCAACCAATTATGAAAAAATGCCAAAACTATATCACACCATTATAAGCCAACTGGTATGGTTCGGTTGGTAAATCAGTTTATGGCAAAATTTTCCACCCCTATTTCTTATTCTTGAATATCAAACCCTCGGCATAACATCAAGTCCAACTGCATTGCTCCTCATAGCCATTTCAGCGTCTCCACCTTTGATTTGTGGACATGTCTTTGATAAGAATCAATTTTTTCTTCAAGTTGAGAGAATATCTTAAGGAAAATGCTATACATTGATTTTTAATACCATTTACTCCATCTTTTACAGAACGCAAGTGACTCAATCGCAATTGCAAAGCCGAATGCAAATCCAATTTCGACAATTATAAGATCTCAATTAATCTCATCTCTAGAATTTAGATGACTTCCATTTGATGGTGGTGACAATCCTGTTTCGTTATCTATCGTCAATGGTGGTCCCCATGGTCCCTTGTTACCTATAAAGGAGATACTTGGAAATGTTGAGAACTGAGTGCCAATTAGGATCCTGTCGACCAGTTGGTTGTTTGACAGATTCATAAATGAAAGGAAACTAAAGTTTGCCAACTGTGGTGGAATTTTCCTGCTCAACTTGTTATGTGATAGGTCTAAGGATTCGAGATTCTGTATGTTGCCCAACGACAATGAGATTTCACTTGTGAAAATATTTTTAGACAAATTAAGAACATATAGTGATTCAAAATCTCCCATTTCCTTAGGTACTTGTCCACTGAAATTGTTGCCTGAGAAATCAATCAAGGTAAAACTAAAGATAATCTTTAGCAGATTTATCTCTAAACCTTTACTAGTAACTGTTACATCATCTTGAATAGAAACACTTGAATATGCCCCATGTACCTGTGTAAATCCCAAGACACTGACACCATCTTTTCTATCCATCATTGTCTGCCATGTTGTCAAAGATATTGCCGATATTTCACCATTAAAATTGTTGTCAGCAACATTTATGATTTGAAGCATTGGCCAAGTTCAATTTGCCTCAAGACATCCAATGCGTCCGTAAAATTTGTTCAATTGCAGAACAAGAACACGCAAAGTGGATATGTTCTTCAAGAAGCATGGGAAGCTATCGGTTATATGATTGTTTATAAGATTCAACGTCTGTAAACCTATGTAGTGGATGAGAGATTTTGGAAGCCAACCTTCAATCTGATTTCAACTAAGGTCAAGAGATTCTAATGAGCAATCTTAAGTAAAAATAGAATTGAAAAGATTTCCAGTAAGAATGTTTCTCCTCAAATTAAGTGCTCCAAGGCTGCATGCTATCAAGCATTTGGGAATCATGCCACTCGAAGAATTATTAGACAAATCAAGAAGCCGAAGAACTGTAGCATTGCATATTGAAACTGGAATGGGCCCATGCAAGTTATTGCTTGATAGAGAGAAGAACAAAGTCTTATTAAGGAATTCCCGATCTCATTTGGTATACTAGAGCTGAAATTATTTCTAGGGTAATTCAGATACGTATCAATTGGAAAGAAAATTGAGAATTTTCCCTGAAGTTGGTTTGAATGAAGGTCAATGACTATCAAATCAGATGAGCAAACTAGAGGAGCTTCTAGAGTTACAAATGAGTTACAAGAAAGATTTACGTAACTAAGATAACCAAGCTTCCAAATCCAATTTGGTATCTCGCCTAGAATCTGGTCAACTGAAAGATCCAAGTAATCTAATTAGGATTGATTTCTCAAAAAACCTGGAAATGTTCTCAACTTATTAGAAGCCAATTCTAATACAACGATTAGAGGAAAAGAGGAATTTGTGTCACTATAGAAAAACAATAAGTTATTGTGGGAAAGATGAAGTATGGTAAGGTTTTTCAACCTTTGTGGACCATTGAAAGGAAATGCACTAAATTTGTTGGAAGATAGATCAAGCCTTTTAAGCCCTTGAAACTTGAAGATAGATACAGGTATTGGACCTTCCAAATTGTTGAAACTCAAATCAAGGTAAGTTACTAAGTTGGAAAAAATGTTCGAAAATTCAGGTAGTTGACGAGAGAAATGATTATTGGAAAGTACTATCCTTTGCAACAAAGGAAGAGAAAACAGAGACGACAGAATACTCACTTCGAGTAAATTGTCGGCCAAATCAAGCACAACTAGATTAATAAAGTTTTCCCAGTGTATAGAACTAATTGGACCATTGAACAAGTTTGAGGACATGTCCAAAAAAACCAATTATGTTAGGTTCTCCATTGATTTTGGAATTGATCTAGTGAAACTACAGTATGAAAGATCAATTGTCTCCAAAAGCTTAAGGTTTTCAATAGAGCTCAGCAATGATCCTGAAAACTTTGTGACTTTTAGATCTAAGGACCGAAGAGATCCATTGTTTGGTAATTCCTGCAAAGAACCATTGAGTTCTTCATTAAATGAAAGGTCAATAATTTGCCGGTTGGGTACCTGAAAGATCTCTTTGGGAAATGTACCTTGCAACAAACAATTAGAGAGACTCAAAGAAGTTAACTTTGAATGGAAGCTAACCGTAGAGCTTTGTGAAGTAAACTGCGGCATGAGTTGAAGCCTCTTGAACAAATTGGAGGTAGTTTAGCCTCTGTTCCTCCCAAATTACAAAAACTTAGTAGCTTCACTAAAAAATGCATGATGAAATGGATACATAGTTTTCATGCAGAGTACATTAAATCTTTTTAAAGAGTATGAGACAACTATAAAGAGATATCTAGCATTATATCTTAGGTACATGTATAATACACAAATTTGATGTGCGCCTATGTAAATCTTTTAGGATTGTCAAATGGCCAAAATATATTGGACAATAATCGAAAGAAAGCATTTTTAGTTGGTTAACTATTATAACTCCCAATCAAAACAAAAAGCCTGCTTGACCAAGTTTAATAAACCAGCATAGATGAATTATCATTATTGTTTGTCGTATATTTGTAGCTTCATCTTTCGTCTTTTCTTTACTTTCTCAATTTCTCTCACACTACAACTCATTCAATGTATTAAAATTTCAGATAAAGATAAGAGGACGCCTTATTGACTCTAATCCTCACTAACCAACCAAGCTTAAATGCAACTATTTTTCTCAAATTAAATAAATTGTACCCCTCTTCCCCCATTTTCTGCGCAATTCACCACCTAAACAATGCAATAAATTATCAAAAGAAGGGATAAAAGATTGTTACAGATGGTTAAATTTATTTACACCGAAAAATGCTTTTTTGAAATAAGTTTTACATGAAATGTATAAATTGGGTGAATCAAGCTCTTGGAGCTCTTTGAACCACTTTATGAGCCTAATTGGTACAATTGAAAATGAAGAGTGTAATCAAACTTCATGAGCCTAATTGAAAAAAATTAAAAGACCAGCTTGAAAATAAATTAAAAAGCTGAGAATACGATGCAAAAATGCATTTACCTGCTCAGTTTCAAGTAGCCTAAGAAAAGGCCTGGTATATTCTGGAAATTGAGTAATCATATCTGTACATAGGTGTTCACTTGCCTAAAAAAATAACAGAAATGAAATAAATTACAATATATTCGGAATACTAGTGTATAAAACGTGATTTCCAAAGATCCAAGCTAATTAAAATGCCAAACCCTTTCAAGCAAGCTTGGCAGCCACTGATCAAGGTGTGTTAAAACCGATGAACAACAAAATGTAAGTCGTAATCTGCAGAAGATTAATACCTTCACTAACTAAATGAATCGAGAATGAAAACATCTAAATTCTATTAATTAAGTACAATTACCAGAGGAAACTGAATAAAATGTCAAAATTGATACGTTGACATAAGGTTGGAGGCATCAAAATCACTAATAAAATATGCATAAACCCAATATGCATCAAAATCACTAAGTCTTGACTTCACTTGCTTTGTCAGAATATAAAAAGTTCAAATAATATTGTTTCCAAAAAATTTGTTCAAAGAAAACAAAAACCATTCACCTCTAACGCTCTAACCGTATAGCAGGGTGGACTTCCTCTTCCGCATTTAATGGTGAATTGAAGACCAATGCTGGCGGTAGACCAAGAGTAAGTGCAACCCAATTGCAGCAACAAAAACACAATTGACTTTCACACTACATAAATAAATGATAAAAAAACACATACTTGCACCAATGCATTGTTTTTTTTTTCTTTTCTGTGCAGCATAAAAATAAAAAATGATAACATTCCCCTGAAACCAAAGTCATCCTCCAATTTCTTGCAACAAATTTTAGTAATTACGAACACCCCAAACTTACTAAAAGATTTTCAATAACCTTCTTTCATTGCAGGGTCCAAGAAGAACCAAACCATTACAGGAACTCGCATTGCAAACATAATAGAACTAATTCAAATATGAAAACCCACAAATCACAATGCTCATATCCAGTGAATCATCTTCATGGACCACATCTTCTAAAATCGTAAAAGGCCTTTCTTTCTCCACTATTTGAATCTTACATTTCTTTTCTACTATTGATCTATGAAACCAAACTATCACTTAATTAAATCTCAAACACTTCCAACTAAATCTTAAATTAAATAGAGCTGTTCAATTATATTAAACTACATATAGGGAGGGGGAAAGAGACAAAAGAGAGAAAAGAGAGACCTGGAATTACCGGATCCTCAATACTGACCAGGCCATAATTCTGATTGGGTTTCAAAAGTGAAGTGTACACCAAATGCTATGTAAGTGTTGTCGGATGCTGAAAAGTAACTGCAATCCAGGGAACTATGTCATTTATAAGTATAAAAAAATTAGAAAGAATCAGGGAAAATCTGTGATGGTGAAAAACATAAAAGCCAAACCAAAACTATAAACCTGTATTAGAGGTTTATTAAATCCAATGTTGAAACCCATTTAATAGTATTGTTCAAAACCTAAAAAAGGATTGAATAGTCATGGTAGAGTGGAGGGAAGAAGAAGCAAGCCACTATAAAATTACAAACATCGTCCAGCTGAGAACAAATATGTAAAAAAGTTGGCCACTTATTTGTAAGATGGAGAATATATTAAGGCATGCTCATGTATGCGGAGGCTAATGAACATTGTCAGATACTGGGTACACATACCATTCATTTAGTAGATATAGAGGGTAGGAGAATGTAGTTTCAAAATTGGAGAAGACCACTTATGAAGAAAAATATAAAATAAATGTTAATTGCAAATATAAATCGAATTTTCAAACAAAATTCACTAACATAAATCTGAAATTTGAATTGTCTACGTTTTCTATTAAAACCCATTTTTTATCTTCAAGCCATCATACGTCTCAAACAACACCTTTTCATCAAAAAATTTAAAACCATTCGTACTCATAGTCTATCATGCTCAAACCAATTCGGTCTAATATGTAACAAAAACATTGTACTTCATATTTACCATACCATGTCTCCTTTCCATGTCCCTTGGTGAAGTCCATATCGTCCCACCAACTGACCATTATTTTGCAACAGTTAAAATCTACCCCACGGGATCTTGCCATAGGAGGTGAGGCTTCCGCCACCGTAAAAAGCATCGCTTCCTCTGGCTCCATCCTTTACCAAATTGTTGGAATTGATGCTCATATCTACTGGTTTAGGAGCTGGTTGTTTTGCATTTTTCGCAACCCAGCCTTCCCTCATACCTAAAAGTTCCCAAGAAAGTTAAGAGCAAAAAGAAATAATAACCCACACATTCTCCACGTTGCACATAAAGCTCATAATTAATTTTAGAAAACAACATACTTGGCACGAATAAATTTCTCAGTCCCACTTCTGTCAAAATTTGATGGCAATTCTTTTTCCCAATAATTGTTTCCTTTGTCATTAACCACGGCTACACAGAAGTACATAGAGAGTTAAGTAACAGGATAATGAATCAGAACATAGTAGTTGGTTAGAAAAGATTAAAAACACACGAAGCAAGAATGTGAACACTGAACCCTAAACCCTATATGAATACTATGAGACCATACGTAACATGCATAATAGTTTTGACAATATGAGGGCATTGAGGACAAACTTCAACACTCATGAAATCTTATAAACTTGCATTGTTTGATAAGAATCAATTATGTTTGGTTCTTTCTTGTTGAGGGAGATGTTACAACCAACTCAGCTAAAGAGTCATTCCTGCAACAACATCAGCCTATGCAAAATACGACATATGCACATACTATGCCACATATAAATTTTTTTTTTTTTTCTTTTTCTTTTTTTTCTTTTTTTTTTTTTGTGGTAGGCTGAGCTGATATGATATTTAGCATGAGAAATTAAATGACATTTAGTTTCAAAGAGAAGAGAAGGCAGCAGCTAACATCTTACCAGTTGATAAGGTACCCATGTTTAGACAGCAAGCTACACCATCTTTAACATAGTTTGGCAGCTAACGAAATGGAATTCCCCATAATTTTGACAAAAACGGTAAGAGGAGACTTATAAATAGTGCCTGCAATTCACATTTACAATAGATGTTGGCTTTCATTAGGTGAACTCAATTTCAGGACACCAAAAATATAAAGGCCACCAATTTGTATGCCTTTTTCAAGAATGCCAGACAGATTGGGGAAGCATAGAAGAGGAATAAAACATTATTAGACATAAACCACATGATGGAAACATTGCAGTACACATTGATATGCAAGGTGCAAGACACATGAGAACTGCTTCCCAAATATAGTCCTTACAAAGAGTAAAATTAGACCAGTACAATGATACACAAAGCAGGACATGAAAGAAGCGGGGGAACATTTATCGTTGAAGAAATTATGTGATAATAAACCATAGTATGCATTTCCCTGCATGTAGGCGTTTCATTCAAGAAAGTAATTCATGGTCCTGCATGTTATCGAATGTTAATGAAACTGAAAAGACATAACGAATTAAAGTAATCCAACTTAACAAAAAACGAAGACATCTAGCTGTTCAAGAAATAAAGTCAAAACATTACCTCAAGAATTCGATGAAACCTAGATATATCGTCGCGCGATTTTGAGGGAATAGTTGATATAGAAATACGGCTCAAATCCCTGAAAATGGCACCAAACACTGTCCTAGGATGATGCAACAACTTATCAAAGTCAGAAAATGCATTATCTCAGTTTATATTAGTTTAGTTTAGTTTGGTAACACATATCATCCCCGTGCAGCAACATAGAATACTTAGTAAAAGTTGCATTTCTGAGAACAAATAACCAACATGCTTGACTGAAAACACAATGCAGATGTTTTAGTAATACAAAATTACAGTTTCATTCAGGTTTCTCAGTCACCAACCAAACATTGTCATAGCTGAAAAATAACCCTAAAAGAAATTAGGAGCACAAACTAACCTTCCTTTGTCGAGCAGCAAGGAAGAAGGGGAGAAAATTGATTCCTGGAGGAGCTTTTTCGTTCAAAATTAAGTCAAGCAGCTGGAAGAAGGGGCGGGGATTGTTCGTGAGCTGGTGTTGCGGGTATAAACATATAGAAAGCTTCACTGTCTCATAACAAACACAAATCGAATATGATCACCATGTCACATTAATTACCTAAAATTCAAAAGGTTATATACATTAGTATGTTGAACAAATTAGTTACATTTCATTAAACTAAAAAATTTACAGAATATGAGAAATAAAGAATTTGTATTGTTTATATGAAAATAGAATAACAAAGAACACCATTGACTGCCATTTTATTCGGTAGTTTCCACAAACGGCAATTGCTGAGATTGTCAGAAATCTTCGAATAAAGCCTTCAATTCAACCATCCGTACACAAACATAATAGACAACGTTTTTTTGCGAATTATGGACAAAGCTTAATATTCAAATGCAATGAAGTGGAAAACAAAATCCAATTCTAGGACGAAATGAATCCTTATTAATCCTTCCTGGTTTAGTACCTAAGAACCAATGAAGTGACATTGGCAATATATGGATATGCATGCTATAAGAAACCATTCATTTGTAGATGGTATTGATTTACCAATATTGTATTTAAAAATCAACCCAAGTTAAAGATGCTATACATAGTTTGGTAAAAAATCAAAACGAATAGTTAACAAAGGAAAAGGATTAAGACGTTGAAAATACAAAGCTGGATTCTTTTATTTGGTAAAGACGGTTCCCCCACTGGCTGTCTGAAACCACAAACATTTTTTTACATAGAAACTTTATAACTAAAATAAATCTAAGTGTTATAATTGAAAAATCCTGGGATTGATAGCTATGGCATCAACAGTGCCACCACATCCCAAATAAATGAATGAAAATATAGTGATTGATGGCCAACTAAGAAGCTCAAGCTTGAACATAAACCAAGGCATAAGATGCTTACCAAACTTTTCAAATGGCTAAATTATTCATTCAAGTTGATAACTTCTTCCTGCAATCCATACGTAAGATCATTAGATGCGGTAAATAAAACATCATACTTCATCCATGGCAATCTAGCAGAGAAACCAATTGAATTCAGATGGAGCCTAATTTGTGGAACTACAGTTATATGCACTGAAATGCATTATCATGTTGTCATATTTAAAACTGAGGTTTATGCAGTATGCTATCTTTAGCATACACAAAATTTTTGCCCCTCATTTTTGAAGTTCTACACTTCATAATTCATATACTTTCAGTTTCCCTTCTAATGAAGGTATGGACTGCTTTCCATTTGGAATTTGCGTAAGACAATGTTATGATATTCCTAATTTAGAATGTGTTTCCATTCTAATGAATGCAAGCCCTAAATCACAAATATTGTACAATTAGCTCTCAATTACTTTGATGTGTTTGAGCATGTGGCAGGGTATGAGAATCAGACCCACTCCATGTTGTTCTCCGCTCTGTCATTTGGTCATTAAACAATACTTCATTCCCTCCATCCTTTATCATGTCTTCTTGGTGATCACTTGTTCGTCTCTGAACTGTATCCACAAAAAAACCACAAATTAATCCCAAAAACAATCATACAAAAAAATTGTGGATCAGATTCGATTACATACCATTTTCCCAGGATGTAGAGCTCAGTGATGATTCCCTCCTCATTTTGCACCTTAGACATCGAGATTTTAAACCAGAAACCAAAATCAAACAAACGTAAAGAAATACGACTGACAGAATCACACTGTAAGCCACCACTCCCTCGCTTCAACGGTTCCACCCACAGCACCAAAAAACAACAATAACAATAATAACAATGTACACTCAGACAAAACAAAAATGCACCAAAGCCCTCCAGTGCTATAACAGCACTTCTAGTACAACTTCGATATCTATGGACTGTTCCTTTCTCCATGTTACAGCGATAGTATTAGAGCTCTTACAACATCACAGATGCATGACCAAGAGTATTCGACAACGTTTTCTCTGATCCTTTTCATCAGTTGGTCCTAAAGATTCTATTCTTTTAAATTCATCTTCCTTTTCGGCATCAACACACATTTATCACTTCTTATGTCGAACATAAAACACCTAACATTTCCGATGACAAATTAGAAGCAACTTATCAGAATCTGGGCACTGAGAATTAAATTACTCTTTTTCTTATAGTCCCGATGGAAATTACTCATTGATTCACAATATTAATCGAACTGGAATGCAAGAAAAGCAAAATCAACAACCCATATCAAAATAATATGAAAAGATCCCAATAAACCAACCAAACAATTAACACTTAAAAAAAAATTGCAAACTTGGAGGGAAAGAAGCACAGAACATGAAGAGGGAGAAGAAGAGCCTGTTACAGAAACCTTTCTCGTTTTTCAGAAACCCAGCTCTGGGTCGAGTTCAGCTTCTTCGCCGCCGTTCTCGCCGGCTCCAATTTACATGTCGTCAGAATCAGCGGCCTCTCTCTCCCTCCCTCCCTCTCCCTCCCTTCTCTCTCTGCTTACGGCATGGTCTCACCGAGTCCCACTGCAGATCGGAAAGAAAAGGAGATGAAAGTCTCTTTCGAATGACCATCGCACCCCTGCCTTTCCACGATTATTAACACGCGGGCATCAACATCAGCGACAGAGAGAGACAGTGACAGCTTCGTACATAAAGTGAAATTCACACTAAAACACTGTTTATTTAAACAGTGTAATTGGAATCCTTACTTCAGAGTTAAGTAATTTTTGTGTGACCATGAATGTAGGTAAGTCCCTTGACCAAACCCTAATTACAAATTTTCAATAACCTTTAAGTGGAAAATTGTCACATGAGAGATACTAATTGATATAATTGGATTTATTCATGACATTGTGAATTTGTGAGATTGCTTTTAATAATTCGGTTGAGTTTGATTTGTAAATTTTTTTCATGTAAATTTTTTATTAATATGCTTCAAAATTTCAAAAAAAAAATGTGGCATTTGTAAATACTTAAAATGCACTGCAAAAAATTTTCTAATCCGAGAGAATTGACACAATTCGTATTGTGTTTTAAGCTTCACAAATCTCACATTCGTCCTTGCAATTTTGAGAGAATTCATTAAACATTTTAAGAATTCTACAATTTTATCTAAGTTGTCTAATACACCCCATACAACCTCATACAATTGACCAACTCACTGCATTTTCCCATTTTTCTAAGACACCATCTACATGGCATTCTAGATTATTTGTATTTAATATGTGTTCATAAAGTGGTACATTTTCGTGTAAATTATTTTCTTCTTTTTCTATTTATTTTGGATAGGGATGGGCATCAACCAACCGAACGAACAAATTGACCAACCCAAAGCATATTGGTTGGTTTGGTTTTAAACAAGAAAAAAAGGTCAAACAATTTAAAAGTCGAATCGAACTGATTTACTTTTGATTCAATTTTGATATTATTGAAATTGACTAAAATTAAACCAAACCGACCATGTATTTTTGTAATTATTAATTACACACGTCAACTTATTATAGGTTATTAAGAGATCTTACAATACACATATTATATGTGACATCCCACATCGCCCAGGGGTGATCCTTAAATGTATATTCTCATCCCTGCCTAGCACGAGGCCTTTTGGGAGCTCACTGGCTTCGGGTTCCGTAGGAACTCCGAAGTTAAGCGAGTAGCACGCGAGAGCATTCCCAGGATGGGTGACCCATCGGGAAGTTCTCGTGTGAGTTCCCAGAAACAAAAACCGTGAGGGCGTGGTAGGGGCCCAAAGCGGACAATATCGTGCTACAGTGGTGGATCGGGCCCGGGTTGTGGTGGGGGCCCGGGTCGGGATGTGACATTATAAGTCTCAACATGTTATGATTTACAATGACGATCAACATTTAGGAGATTTATATGTATTATATACTTATGTGAGGTTATAATTAATAAATTGTTTGCTAGCATGAGATTTTATTTAATTGAAACATATTTCTATTCGACTTGAAGAACTTTTTATTTTCCAAAAAATGTAATCTTTCAATTGAATTAGAATGCGTGGAATGTTTAGATGTTTAAAAGATTAAAACTCTTGAAATGTTAAAAGAGTTTTATTTTTGTATTGAATAAGCTTAAACCGACTAAACCAAACCGAATCAAACCAATTAATTATGATTTAGTTTAGTTCGATTTCAATGTTTATATTGTTCAAAATCAAACCAAATCAACCCGTTAAATAATAATTGATTTGAATGTCAAACTGAATCAAACGGTCCAAGTCCATCTTAATTTTGGATGGCCTTGAACCCGGGCTAATAATATCCTTGGAAAGGCCCTCAATCCAAATATGGACAGTGCTCGTGAGAGTCGTAACCGGGATTTTGCGAAACCAAAACATGGTGTTGTAGGATTTTGCGTTTGTCCCCTCTGTTAAACCAAAACATGGTGTTGTAGTATTATGCTGAATTCGAGTTTTGCATCTGTTACCCTGCAGTTGAAATGTAAAGTTTGGTATGTTTTCTTCACCGTTATAATCTTTACCTTAAGTTAGTACGTAAAAATATAAAGTAGATTGAAAATAAATATTTATTCTGGTGCAGGCGTCTTAAACCTGGAGGTGGAGGTGTCAATGCTGCAATCTTCAGTGCTGGAGGTCCATCTTTGGAGGTTGCAACCAAAGAATAAGCCCAATCTCTGTATCCTGGGAGTGCTGTGGTTGTACCTCTCCCTTCAACTTCTCCCTTGTTTAGTAGGGAAGGGGAAACCCATGTCATACATGTTGTTGGACCCAACATGAACCCACACAGACCAAATTGTCTGAACAATGACTATAGTAAAGGCTGCAAAGTTCTCCGGGAGGCTCACCACTTTTCGAAGGTTTCGCAACAATTGTGAGGACCCAAGCAAAGTCACCCAAGGGAAGCATTGAGAACCTGCAGGCAAAGCTGCCAGAGTTACAAGAACGTTCTGATGGTGCCTCTAGAAATCATTTTACAAACAACGATCAAAAGACTAAGAGAGAGGAGCAAAAGAAGTCAAGCATATCAGGATGATACTGAAGATTCTAACACTGGTAAACCAAACCTGAGCAACCAGTCCGGTGGAAGCGGGACTAAATCCTGGGGGTCATGGGCTCAGGCTCTCTACAACAATGCTATGCACCCAGAGAAGCACAAGGATGCAGTACTAGAGATATCAGATGATGTCGTTGTTAGACAAATAAGGAATATGGTTGGAATCCTTGTATAATTGTATATAATATTATTATTGGAAGAATAAGCCGTCCTACAGCCGTCAAGCCGTCCTAGATTGTCTCCTAGCCGTCCTAGCTTGTCACTAGCCGTCCTAGCTTGTCTCCTAGCCGTCCTAGCTTGTCTACTAGCCGTCCTACCTTGTCCTACCTACACATTTGTATCATGTATATATATCCTTGTAATCTTGTAGAGAAAAATAATGAAAACATAAGCATTCTCTTCCATTTGCATTCTCTTCCATAAGCATTCTCTTCCATTTGCATTCTCTTCCATTTTTCCACATTCATGTATCAATAACAAATATAATTTTTAGCATACATACCTTTTTCTACAGTCGTTGTGCTGAATGATCTGTATCCAAAGGTAAATGATACCTATTTTCCAAATATTGTTTATCATCCTCTTCTACTTTCTGTCTGATGAAAAAAAAACCTTCGGAATTTCGCAGGCAAAAAGGCATGTTTTGGTGATGGCACGATGGGAAGGCCTTGATAGACTGTCAGATGTTCATAAAGAACACCTTCCATTGTTAAGGACAATGCATGATGTTGGTCTGAAAGAAAGAGAAAGAAGAGAGAGGATCAGACGAGACAGAGAGGAAGAAGAGTGAGAGAAAAAATTAAGAGACCGGATTGGAGGAAAGACAAAAAAAGGTAAAAAAATATATGAGAGAGAAACAAGAAAAGATAGAGAGATAGATTTGGAGTTAGAGAGGGGAGGGGGAGAGAAAAGAAATGACTAAGTTTAAGTTTAAAAACTCTAAAAATTTACTTTTTATGTTTTTAAATAATAAACTATATTTTTGAGTTAGTTTTAAGTTCAGTTTTTAAACATAGTCCTATCAAACAAGTTTTTAAGATCTAAAGCTTGAAAATTGTTTTTGAGTTAAAAAAGTTTGATTCAAGTAGAATATCAAACAGATCCCAAAAAATTCAAGGAAAGTACGTTTTGCCAACTGTGGTGGAATATGCCCGCTCAGCTTGTTCTGTGAGAGTTCGAATGACTCAAGTTGATGCATGTAGGCAAATGATGATGGGCCTGTGAAAGAACTACTAGACAAATTAAGGAAATATAGTGACTTAAAACTCTCTCATTTCCTCAAGTATTGGTCCACTGGTTCCATGAGAAATCAACCAAGGTCAAGATAGAATCTTAACCATATCCATCCTTGAACCTTTTATGGTAATTGTTATAACATCCGCAAAAGAAAAATCAATTCCGCCTCTTCCTATTTAATGTGAAAATTCTAGGAGTTTAACCTCGGCATGGGAATCATCTTAATTAGCCCTCTCTGCCATTGGTTTTGGGACATGCAATGTGTCCATAAATTTTGTTGGATCTCAAAACAGGGACACACAAAGTGGATTTATTCTTTAACAAACAAGGCAAGACATCTTTTATCTGATTGTTTGCAGGTCTTAAAACCGGTTTTAATTTGCAGTATTATTGCAGGGCCAGCCTGGACAGCAGGCCCCTCAAATACTTTTAAATTTTTAGTGATAAAAATATTCCATGTAGTTTTGTGGTAAAAAACGTAGCTTCAACTCACTTTGCGAAGGTCTTGAGGAAATCATGAACCCAAAACATTCAAGCTTCAACTTCAAGATGAAAGAAAAATGGAGAAGACTGCCGCCTTTTTCTTCTCTGGCATTCTTAATTCTAACCCCCTTGATTCGTTGCTAAGACATGAAGGGAACATCATCACTTGAGAAAATGGCAATCCTGAAGCGAAGAACGGTCTCTTATTCATTCCAGTATATTACAGATTGTTTAGAATTGAGCATTAGACCGTTTTATCACCAAAACTCAACATCCTCTCATACAGAGCCGGCCCCGAGGGTGTGCAAAAAGTGCCACCTCACAGGGCCCCCAAATTTTCTTTATATGTAAAAAATACGTATTATATACTTAAATATGCAAGATAATAATAATTACCATACCAGCACTAGTTTTGAAGGCGTTCAATCTTCTTGTACATGGGCCTAGGTTTGGGTCCTCGTGGAACTATTTTGCTATTTTTAAGTTTTGCAAATTTATTAACTTAAAAAGTTAGATAAGTTTTACACAAAAAACCATGCAACATATTTCGAACCTTTTAAGACGTGAAACACTTTTGTCCACTGAAATAATACTTATAATTTGGTGCTCTAATTTATAGTATTTAAATTTTATACATACAAATTGAAAAAAAAAATACAAAGAAAATACAATATTAAAAAAGATGAAGGACCTCCATCTAAATCTTGCACAGGGCCCTAAATTCTCAGGCCGGCCCTGCTTTCATACAGTACTACGT